AGTTGCCGCCGGCTCCGTTGGCTGGGATTCGTGAGTGGGTTGAGGCCGTGCTCCCCCATACGGTGGGGATCCGCACATGGGCGTCTTTCTGGGAGAGGCATGGCCGTAGGCCTGTGGTAGGTAAAAAATTGATTTCTTCTTCTGTTCCGCTTTGTCTCAACTCTATTCATCAACTTTGTTTTTNGCGCCAAATTGTTTGCTCAAAAGTTATCACATACCTTACGAGTATAAAACAATATAAATAAATCACGGGAAAATCATAGCAAACCGTAATAATCCGTTGGACCAAATGAAGGAAACGAAAATAAGTACTCAGAGTTAGGAGGAGAAACATTAAGATTCTTTATTGATAATGTTGATTTGGCCTGCCTCTCCATGAAGAGGTTCAGAGCCTTACAATGGTGTTTTTCTCTCTCACAATATGGGTATCATTGTGTTTTTTCTCTCTCTCCCGGATAGTGATCGAGAAGCAGCCCCCTTTCTAGGGTTTCCTCTCTTGGTATTTATAGCCGTGAGCTTCGTGAGCTGGCAATAAGTGGCCGTGACCACGTTGGGATTTCGCCTTCATGGTGGCGGATGGGCCGTGGCCTTGTTGATCGAATCAGATGAGGGTTGAATATCGTTAATTCTAAGTGGTCGTGCCACTAATTAATCATGAATTGGCTTAAGACGGGATTAGCTTCGTTAATTATCGTGGGGTCGGATTCTGACCCATACAGGTATAAAATAATATTAACAGTTTTTTGCTAAAATATTAACATATATTATAAGAAGGAATGCGTCAAATTGCCTAGTTTTAAGAATGCTCATAAACCTATGAGGCAACCCTAAGTGGGTTAGCACTACTAAACCACATGTACTTAATTAAAAGAACTACAACTAATTGAGATAAAGGGTCAAGATATCTTATAGTGGAAAGCATTAAGCACCATACAGCCTTGTAAAAGGCTTAAATATTTTAGGGCAAAAGATATATATACCTACCAAAGGACACCAAGGTACTCTTAAGACAGATCGATCTGCATAAATAATTATTTACTGAATTGTCTTAACAAATTTGGATGTGAAATACAAGCTGTGAAATCGGCATGACAAATTTGCAATTGTAACACGAGATTGATGGATAGGATCTCTTCACTCTTAACGAGAGGTCATAGCCGGGTTTGAGTCTTTTTTTTTTTTCCCTCAATGACTCTAAATCGGAGCGATTTCGGATTAGTCGAAACCTCAATTCAAATATCAATATCACGTGAAAAATCATTAAATATTATTTTTGAGACCATTCAATATTTATTTAAAGACCAAAATTGACACATGTAAATGTGCATGGTACATGAAACTTCCAAACTGCTTACCCTACTACTTTTGAGCCCCATGGCGGCTAGCACCTGAATTATAAACCATTCCCCACCCACCCACCCTCTACCGACACCCCAACCCCACCCAAAAAAAAATGCAAAGAAGATTATAATTGATGATGCATAGTTAAAAAAAACTAACTTTGAAAAATAAAGCCGAATCCAGTAATATTTTATCCCAATGTAAATCGATGATAAAAGGCTCTCCACTTCGGAATAAATAAAGGGAATGAATATTTTAAGGAAGTACTATATATTACATTTTATTCTCCTTATCGGATAAGCTATTCTTGTAGGAATAGTATATAGTATATGTTTAGAAAAGCACATTTCATTTGTCATCTTCACTTTGTGTGGTTCATATCTCCTTTACTACTTCCTCTCAACGAATTAAAAAGGTTCTTCAAATTCTTATATTATATGTACACACCACTATCCTAAACGAATAGTGTCCTTTTTGCTTAGCTAACATATATATAATTTACAAAGCTTTCCTAATTTAAAGGTGTCCTATAAAAACTTTATTTTGTATTTGATATCTCCTTTACTACCTTCTCCATCCCAAAATGAATAATGACACTGAAATACAAAGATCGAACCTTTTAATTTTTGTAATAAAATATAAACATTAGAAACTTTAAAAGTAAAATAACCACTGCTCCTAAATGGTAAAGAATGTGTTAGAATATTTCAGAATAAAGGCGTATTAACAGAAAAACATTGTGTGACTAATCTCTTATGAGTTATGTCAGTCAGATTAAAATTAGATGAATTTAAGTTATATATACTGATTGCGTAAAATACAATTTATGCATAACAAATATCAAAATATTTATTTGTAATTAACTAATAAATAACCTGACGTAACTATATAAATATTGTTTACACTATCAATACATAAAATTTAAACACAAACAAAATAAGACGGATATATACATTGTTAATTTCTTCTAGCTAACTAGCTAGTGTATGACAACATCCTCAGTCAATCATACGTCAAGCGTTCATACGCACATACATGAATTAGTTTCATACATCGAACATGAACTTATATTTTTTGGATTTTAATATATAACTGCCAAAATGAAATATATACCTTTAATTTTTGGATTTTAATATTTAACTCTGAAAATGAAACATATAGTCGACAAAAACAGAGGTTGTGGGGGTTGGGGGTTGCTTGGATGTCATTGGATCAAATAAACGGAGTATGACGTACTAGTTTTACTATATTTATATTTATTTATTTGTTAATACTACTACTATATTTTATATTCTTCTGAGATAAAGCATATCACTTGGAATTTGTTCATGTCAGAAGATAGAAAGAGGAATATCATGCTATTACTACTAGGGGTAGTTTGCTCGGGTGTATAAAAATAATACTATCGGATAAGGTGTATTAGTAATACTGAAATTATTTCTTATCGATTGTTTGATTTGGTGTACTAAAATAATATGCATTGCATAATTTTTTTAAAAAAATATTTGTTTACAAAAACACCCTCCACATTTATGTCAGTGTCTACATTTCACTAATAGTGTAACAATCATTTACGTTGTCAGTGTTTAATTTGTTTAATTGTGCACAAATAGTTGATTAACTAACATACTCCTATATGGAAGTGAAAACGATAGAAGAAAACTTTAGTAATATTTTTGTTGAGGAAGTGGCAACTTGGCAATTTATATATTAGCAATCACTGGTGGAACTATTATCTCTCAATTTTCAATTTTAGTTTTTACTTAAAGATCTTCTTTAGCTTAGGTTTTATGAAGATTAACCTAAATCAAGCACTAAGGAAACTTAAATCTCGTTTAAATCTTAAAGCAAAAGTTAAGATTAGTCAGAAGTGTCACTTGGGTTTTCTTAATCCGTTTTTATTTGTTTGGCAATTGAACTTTGATAGGTCAACTTTAAACTGGCTAGTTTTCTTTCTCTCTCAACTGGATTTACCTTTTGCTTTTCTGGATTCGTAATGGATGTGGAATTAGATTTGGGGGCATCTTATACCTCTAAATTCTTATTTTTGCCTATAATAATTCATGACTTCCTTTCATTATTTCCATAATTGGAAGCTGAAAAATTAATGCAATAAATAACATTCCCTTTGTTTAAGAATTTGTTGTCGTATGGGTGGACAGGCACCCCGATACACAAAGTATTTCATATTTACGCAGAGTTTAGAGAAGGGTCATATGGTGTGATGTAGACACATACCCTATATTAGTGAATGTTTTCACGGCTCGAACTCGTGACCTACAGGTTACACGAAGACAATTTTACCGTTACTCAAAAACTCCAATGTCATTGTCTTATGGGTAAATAACTAAAAGAGTTTAAGTAATATACACCAAATTGACAATACTAATATTAGAATTAAGTGGCAATTCAAGAATCAGGAGTGGTTTTATAATTAAGCCGTCAGAGCTACCCAAAAAGGACCACGAAAAGTTGCCTTTTATCCTCTCTGCTTTTCTTTCAAAATTTCGTAAACCTTTCTTTTATTCTTTTGCTCTTTCTTTATTTCTATTCGTTTTTACTTTCTTTCTTCTTCCCTTCCAATTTTGCATTTTTTTGTTCTTGAGATATAAACCATCCTAAAAGAAGGTCCTTCACACATTGGAATTAGCCAAAGCGTTATGGGTAGAGGCAGGTATAGTATATAATCAATGGGTTTTGGAGTCCAGTATTTTCGACACAAAATATATTCGGATTATACACATGTCATACATAGATTAAACATATATTATATATCCATTAGCCATTTTTAGTATAAGCTTTAGGTGGACGGTTATTTAGGTTAATTCTTCCATTTTGATTTTATACTTGGGCCCCCCCTGAAGTTGGTGTTATTTCTACCTTAGTTTGTTTGAGGCAGTTAGGAAAGAGGCCTAGGTGGATGATTTTAGTCTTTATGTATTTCACATGTAACCCTAAGGGAAATCTAGTGAAATGCATTTTAAAGCTTCATTATGTCTAACTTCCTGGAGGTTCCTCGTTTCTTATCATTTTATTTTCTGCTTTCTAGTTAAGAAGACTTTGATCTACTTCTTTCCTTTAGTTTACTGGTTGTGAAATCATAGCAAATTGGTTTTTCTGTATTCACAATTGTTGTCATTAATTTGGGAAACTAAGGGAGCAGCTCCACGAATCAGAGCCCAAACTAGGGGAATTTCTATCCTTTTGATTTGTGGATTCTTAACGAATTTGGAATTAGATATGGGTGCATATTGCACCTTTGGATAAGAAATTGGAGCATAATTGAATAATCAATACCACAAACCATACAAGAATTTGGTGCATTGTTAGGAAATCGTAAACTAGCATATCAGCATAATAAAAATGATACTATACCAGTACCCTATCTGTAACATTTGATATCGCACTATCGCAAAGTTTAGAAGTTTGACGATTTTCTTCAACAGGCGTCTTTCTAAAAATGTTATAAATCTTTTTATATATTTGGAAATTATGGTTTACACCACTTATTACTCCGTGTAATTTCTGAAAATGTAACCATCATTTCAAAAAATAATAATAAAGGAATTAATATATGACCTCCCTTTGAACAAAAGAGCAGAATATCATATGGTACTTTGAACACGAAACACTCTGTGGCTTTCATATTGCGCTGTAGATATGTTTCAATTGAAAACCTTGAATAGAAAAGAAGCGCTGAACAATATATAAGAGTTCGAACCACATGTCATCTTCACCACAATATATCAGATACAACGAATTCAAACTTGTAGGAGCAGTATTTAGACCAAATAACATCAATTTCGAAATAATTCGTATTCCAGAAGTAAACTATAACAAACTCAAGATACTCCAATATAGAGGTTGAGTCATTGCCTTGTCTGCGCTGCACCCTCTAGATGGCCAGCTGGAAATATTCCAGAAAATGCCTCAGTAGTATGCTTTCCGAGGATTGTTCTGCGAAAACATATATATCAACCTCAGTTCCAATTACAATAAAAATTTAAGACATCAATTTTCCTCCGTTCACCCCTCCCTCTTTCTAAACCGAGAATATCCCCAAACCAAGAACGAACAATGCCCTCGTAAGGCATTAGTTTTTACACGAATACACTGCCTAAGCTGTTCTCCCTCCTGTTAGGTGACAGTATACTTTTCTGTTGTCAATGACTCAATGTCTCAATGTTACATTTGATATTCTCCCTAGATAGAGGAAGGAAGTGATTTTTATCTCGACTCATAGAAGCTTCTATTGTTTCACAAAGAAAGTGATGTCGAGATGGTTCCTTTCGAGTTTTCTTCTCATATTACTGTTGTCTTTTTATTTTCCCTTATGCAAACTGGATTCTATCACATTTCAGTAAAAGAAAAGTTACCAACCATCAAAAAGGTTCAGTAAAAGAGGAAATAAAAGTCATACCAACGGATTTGGCCTGTACTTGTAGCCTAGCATCATTCGTTTCTTATATTGCTCATAGATATCATCTTCTGGAGTTACCTCCCCGGGTTGGGAAGCACCAACTCCTAAATTATTTGATTTTACATTGCCGGCCGTGATTGGATCTGCAATACCACTTTTAGAGCTCCCTAGTCCTTCACCTGCAGTTTCACATAGAGATTTAGACTCCATATGAATTTACCACTTATCATCCTAAAACATGAACTATTTGCATTTCAAAGGCTAGTATTTTCCAAGTACGAACTCCTATAAACTACCTCGACAGATGTGCTTGACTTGCATATCATAGCAAAAGTTTTCAAGAATTTCTAGCATTGGCAACACGAGATATACAATATTCAAAACTTCCAAGTCCAGGAAAGTTTGATAGCAACCTAGTTACCACAACAACTTGCTACACATGGTGTATTTATCCATTTAAATAAACAAGATGGAAGGGGGTTGCACCTCAGACCTGAGGGTAACCTCATCAAGTGCAGAACAAACCCATCCCCCTATCCCATTGCCCCTTCAACACTCAACAGAAGACTCTTAGGGCTCGTTTGGTACGAGGGATAAGGGATAATTAATCCCGATTAAAATTTGAAATAAGTTTATCCCACGTTTGGTTGGGATAAAATCGCGGTATAACTAATCACGAGATTAGTTATCCTGGACTGTAGTGTTATTTTTATCCCTATGGGAGGGTGGGATAACTAATCCCGGCACAATTAATCTTGGGATAACTTGTTTTCCAACCAAACGACTCCTTAAGGTTAAACCGCCCTGCTCCTAAAGAAAGGTCTATAAGAAAATGGAACCCTCCTTTCCCCCAAAAACAAAGCATAAAAATTTGCTATGTGCTCCAAGATGAATAATACCCAGAAATGGAGACTCCTTAGCTACTACAAAAGTGATTAACAATAAACATCCCGAGTCTTCAGTTTTTCGAGATATTATATTGCAATAAAGGGATGGGATCTTAGTCAGCTACATTATCATAGTGGAGGACGAGGAGTATAGCCAACAAGGAGTACACCCCACCTTCTGGGAGGTTAAGTAAATATTATTAACCAAAAAAAAAATGAAATACCTTAGTGGCTAATATTATCTCTAAAATTTACAGGTCCAAGTTATTTGCAGCCAACCCCATCAACGTTTTCCTAAAGGGAGGATGATATACCTTCTTTCCAACCCATTTTAGACAGAAGTTTGTGGCCAATATTATCAGCTTGTATTTTCGACCTTTCTGCAGCCTCTATGGCAGCTTTCCGAGCAGCTACATCATTGCAGGTAGACAAAAACTTAGCAAGCTCTTCAGGCGGGATATAGTCTCCCATATGATGCCCCTTCTTTCCTGGAGCTGCAACACAAAATAAGATATCAGAAGACTTGCATAACAACAACAACAACAACAACAAGATATATTTTAATAAACATTTTACTGGACCTATTTTGAGCCCAGATGCCTGAAGTTCTAAGCTTTAATTGGATGATCAGAACAAAGATATAGCAGAATCGAATAGAATCAGCGACAAACCTTGGAGAGAAGCAGGCGGAGGCATCTCATCTTTTGAAGATTTGTATGGCCGCAGCTTCTCTTCTTCTGCAGCTTTCTTCATGTAATATTCCATCATCGATATTGGATCTGACCCCGATGGACCGCTTGGATGACCTGAAAAGACAAAATATCAGTACAAGCCCAACAGTAATTGAAACCCTACCGGAATTCCGTGACGCTCATCAACCATTGAATTTCTGATTATATGACAATCTGATGCAGTGCAGGTGCACAAATAATGGCCCAAATGAAATTAAATTTTCCCAGAGAAGAAACCAGTTCTTCAAAATCTGTAGCTTTAGAGGCACAAAACAGTCTTGAGTTTTTTTTTAAAACGTTTTTTTTTAGCTCAGATGCCTGAAGTTCTAAGCTTTTCAAGGGGAATAGAGATATGTGATGGAAAATAATCAACAACAACAACAACATACCCAGTCTTATCCCACAGCGTGGGGTCTGGGAAGGGTAGTGTGTACACAGACCTTACCCCTACCTTGTGAGGATAGAGAGGATGTTTCCAATAGACCCTCGGCTCAAGAAAGCATAAGCACCACATTAATGAAAAATATAGACAAGAAGGGACAGTACCAAAAAGCCAAATAAAAGCAGGAAAAAAAATAAGATATTAAGGTAATCAACAATGAAAGAAAACAACGGTTAGTCATAAAACCTACTGCCCATAGAAAGCGAGACTGCGTGCCAACTAGTGTTATGAACACTCTAGACTACCTACTCTACTACCCTAATCCTCGACCTCCATACCTTCCTATCAAGGATCATGTCCTCGGTCAACTGAAGTTGCGCCATATCTTGTCTAATCACCTCTCCCCACCTCTTCTTTGGCCTACCACTACCTCTTCGTAGGCCCTCCAACGTAACCACACACCTCCTCGCCGGGGCGTCTGTGCTCTTTCTCCTCACATGACCAAACCACCTAAGCCGCGCTTCCCGCATCTTGTCCTCAATAGGAGCCACACCCACCTTGTCACAAATAACCTCATTTCTAATCCTATCTAACCTGGTGTGCCCGCACATCCATCTCAACATCCTCGTCTCTGCTACCTTCATCTTCTGGACATGAGCGATCTTGACTGGCCAACACTCAACCTCATACAACATCGTTGGTCTGACCACCACTCTATAGAACTTACCCTTAAGTTTCAGTGGCACCTTCTTGTCACATAAAACACCAGAAGCGAGTCTCCATTTCATCCATGCCGCCCCAATACGATGTGTGACATCTTCATCAATTTCCCCATCCCCTGAATAATAGACCCGAGGTACTTAAAACTCCCTCTCCTAAGGATGACCTGCGAGTCCAACCTCACCTCCCCTTCCCCCCTTGAGTCTCGCCACTGAACTTACACTACAAGTATTCTGTCTTGGTCCTGCTCAACTTAAAACCTTTAGATTCCAAGGTCTACCTCCATACCTCTAATTGTGCGTTCACACCATCTGCCCTCACGTTTCAATAAATTCAAGCACTATTTTTCTGCCCTCACGTACTCTAACCTCACTAGAAAACTTATCTGCCTCAATAAACCTGTGTATGCTAACCTATTTTGACAAATTCAGGTACAAAAGCAGGATTTCCATTGTTAGCCATCACATTACACCCAAATCCAGTAGGGTGAATAATCAAAACAAAATTCCAAGAGAATATACACTGAATCCCATATAAATGACATTACCAGATTTTCCAGCCGAATCTGAAGAACTTGTATTCTCCGCTGCTCCATATAATGCTGATGCAGGAATTTGGTAATTTGAATGCTGCTGATGTGACCTATGAGAACTACTCGTTGAACTAGGAGTAGCAGTACTAGTAACACCTACAGCACCAAAAAGCTAATCAAGTAAATAAAGGAAGAATCACAGCAAACAAATATTACGTTAATCAAGTGAAGCCAAATGAACTAGACACTAGATGCAAACAATATGAAGTTGGCGACTTAGATAAGGCTCAAGCTGCTCAGCTAAAGGCACGCACGTGCACACACTGTACACATATACACACAGTACATAAAATGCCATATAAAATATGGCCAGCTGAAAGCCTTAAGCTTGAAAATATTGTAAACTTCAACCATTTCACAGACTCATAGGACTCTAAATTTAATTTGTTCATAGCTTAATTTTGTTCCTCAAAAGAGGATGCACCTACGGCCAATACCTAGAGAAAGCATATGAAAAGAACGGAAAGAGCAACTACATCTAGCTTCCCAAAAGGAAAAGACAACTCTTACTACCCAGTCACACTTTTACATGCATAAAATTCAGGTATACCAGAGCAGCTTTAGCGCTACAGATACTGCCAAAAAACAAACTGCATAAATACTTAGAGAAATACACAAGCAAGCTGGTAAAAGCCTGCACTCCTATACATGGAAAGCACTAATTAGATTTATGCAAGCAATATAAGCATGCTGAGAATTTTTACGAACCACTAAGCGATGTTTGGGCATCCGTAGTCTGTGATAGAGCCTTTTCCTCTTCACTAAGTCGATATTCATAGTATTTGTAATCGGGACAGCTTTCATCAAATAAGAACCTGCAAGTAGACAATGTCAGTACCAATATTTAAAAAAAAAAAAAAGAATTTTCTTTTTCTTTGGGAGAGAGAAATCAAATGATTGACCATTATCCATACATTATAGGCTACAGATAAATCTACAGTAAACTCATCAGATTGAACTCTAAAAGAGACCGATGATGTTGGCAAACAAAGAGCTCCTAGACGCCAATACAAAAATAGACAATTAAACGAACAAGAAAGGAAGAACAAGAAATGAAACCAGTTCTTAAGAGGGTGAGAGGACAACAATAGAAGACAATAGATGCAACAAAAATCATGGGTGCGAGGTCATACAACCACAATTCTACCTATGTGCTTTGACAAGAGAGGATAAACCATGAGGCCATGAAAGAAAATAATTAATGTTTTATGATATAATGGGACTATCACACAAAGAAACCACAGAGATTCTGATTCATACTTAAATGGAGTGTCTCCTGGATTCTTTTGGCGTGTGATATGCTCAAACTGCCTTCCATTCTTGGCCACAAAACTTGCTAACTTGTCTGCAACTTTCTTCACTGTTGGATCACTTGGAGGATTTGGTGCTGCATGTCACTTAAATAACTGATTAATACCAAGAGCATGAACAAGTGAATGAAAATTACTCTTGTAGCCGCATTTTCCAATTCTTTCATTGAACATCTCTTTCCACCAATGTTTGTAGGGACTTAAGGTATAAGCTGCACGATCAGACAAGAGTAACTCAAGAATGTCTGGTCCTCCTTATCCACAATGCCTAGAGAATATCCTCAAAGTACAACATAGAATGGTACAATCTTGACTAATGAAGGGCTTAAAGGATTTGCAACATAAGGCTTCAACGACAGCGATGCAGTAAAGCTTTTTTTTTTTGGACAAGGACAGAGAAGTAGTAAATGATAAGCCATAACACAATTTGCACAAGACATTAGGTGATTATGTGTTATGCGGTCCAACCAAATAGAAATCACCTCATATGCGACCACCAACAGAAAGCAAAATAAGCACATTAGTAAATTCTCCAACGGACAAGAACAAAGATGACTCCATAAATTATCGAAATTCCTAAGCTATCACAAGTCGATGAAGAATGAGTTGAATTGCCTAAATCACCCTAGCAAACGGAAAAACTAAAGAGAAGGAAATATACCGCCACTAGGAAATGCTGTTCCAAGAACCAACATGTGATACCATGAGCAAAAGATAAAAAGAAATATATATATATATATATATATATATATATATATAGA